CTTTCAAACCCCAACTATGTCCTCGTTGCTCTGTCATAGTTCTTTAACCGACTCATCGTTATTCTTGTTTCCATGAAACCGTTTTACTCTGCTACCCTTTTTCACTGGTACAATAGAAAACGTTTCTCAGTGATATTGTTCATCATGAGGGGACTTGTGTCTGGTTGGCTTCCTTGGCATTTTTTTGCTACTCTGTTGGTTAGGTGCATTCTGCTTGGCGTGAACGCACGTCCTTTGACTCTCTAGATTTAGTCGACAGGAGGTAAATATTCTCGTACATTTTGATGTCTGATAACGTTTTGGCAGCTCCATCCGGAGTTTCAACGCCGCTGTCCGGGTCTTTCTCTGCGCATGCGTGTTATTATGATGCTAACCAGACGCCGCGGGCTGCATCAGATAGCTTGGTCACCTGTCTGTAAGACGATCTCCCTATCGTTCCAAGCTTCGTTTATCCTAGCTCCGCTACTATACCGCAAACAAGCGAAAACCGGTTCCGTTACACTGGTGCAGACGTAGCATGTCACACGCAACATACGTCGACCAACTCAGGCTGGCAGAGTGTTACCATTAAGAACCTTACTCTCTGAGAACAAATTCGGGTTTGTAGACCGCGATGCGCTCCGCCTATGGCTACAAGCCCTGAAGATTTTCACCAGGTCTCTGCTGTATATTTTTATAGCTACTCACCTCGGTAGCTCTTCGGTTTTCTTGCTGAAAGTCCTACCGTTCTACAATCTTGGTAGTGTGAAACCTCCACGAAGAGTGAATTTTTGGAGGAGAAAGCTTCGTAGGCATTCCTTTTTCGAGATACAACAAAAAAGTGTTTCTTTGAGCAGATCTGATTTTGAAGTGGTAGTACAAAGGTACAAAAACACTGCTGAATGTCCAACGTAGAAAATAGCAGCTTTTTTCTAAAAGCATGTTTTCCTTCTGCTATGACTCGGTCTTGTTGATGGTAGCGTGGAGCGATGTATGACGATTTTTAACCGTCGCTGGCAAACCCTGATGGCTCGAATATCATTATGCATCATGTTCCAACCATAATGTTTACAGTGTCTGGATGCTGATGGGAGGTTCTATTACTTTCAATGAGTGGAAAGTCTAAGGCCGCTTTGGGGGTTTCAACCCGAATCCTTCTACAGAATCCTTCACTTCAATTGATAAGGGATAAATGGAAGATCACAAGGATAGAATTTGTTTAAATAATCATTGTGCTTTTTCTTTTCCACGAGAACAAATTTGAAACCTTGCTATTTCTTTCGTCCCCTCGTGTAACACTGACACTTGAGATAGCTATCGAGCTATGGATGGAACCAATTATTATTGCTGAGTGCTTTAATCACTAATACTTTTCTCCTCTTCGCAATGATACAACGTAATATCGTTTTTTCCCCAACTTACATACAGCAAATCACTGCTTGTGTCTGAAAACAATTTCACCCATACTCTCTCCCTTGCAGAATATTATACCCAAAGCTCATTACACGAGGAAGGACTGCCATTTCTTGGCGACGGAGCGATCCCGTTTCGAATTTCGTACGTCGTTCGTCGTGTAAGTGCGCAGCCCGCTGCTTTGTACCGCTTCTTTTATCGTAAGTATTTCCAAAATTCTTTACACATTTTACACAACGTTCGTACGTGCCTCGCGATATGCGCTGATCGTCTAGCCAGCTAGAGAACGCTCTCCATTCTGACGGCTCTCTGCAACCTTCGGTGACTGACCGAGGCCTCTGCCCTCTTCCCAATCTTCAGGGTTACAAGGTGCAACTGCACACGCTAGGATTGCACGTGCATCATCTTTGCATGCCAGCTGCCTGTGGACCTCTCGACGACGATCTAAAGCGTCAGTTCAGTACCCGTTCTGCTCACCTGCTCACAACCGTTTGCTGCTGCCAATGTACAATACCATGTAACGGCGACAGTAAATCTTTCTTGCTTCACGAAAGGAAAGCTGTGCGCTGACGGCACGTTACCAGCCCGAACCCATCGCAGCGCAGGCAATCCCAAGCTTGGGGGGGGTCGCTCCTGCTCGCCAACATGTATCACATTTGCACTCTAGATACAAGGCTAGAGAGCTAGCACGGCCCAGCCTGCACCCAGCAGGGCCATTTCTCCGGTGTAATTTTTCCGCCCGTTATTTATAATTAAATATCCACGTGCGAATTACAGCGCAACTATAATATACACAAAACAATACACACCTCTCTATAGTTGCTTTGTCCATAGTTTTTTAGTGCAAATTCCCATTATTTGAGTATTGTGTCCATGATCCTCTTGTCCCCAACTGTTATATATGAATCATTTCATGTTTATGACCCAATGCTTGCCGCAATGATTATAGTGTGACCCACCAGAATTACTTTGGAATTGATAGGCATCACCGGCACTCCTCACCAGCATTCTTAGTTTAATCAGTGACCATGGCTATGATGCCGGCACAGCCACCAGTCCCATGTGAGGATAGAGTCAAAGGACGCTCTTCCTCCTTAGGGACACGTGGCACATATAAGCGACCATAGAACATAAAAAAGAACGCACAATAAAAACTCGGACAAGACAAGATAATAAAAAACAACAAATATTAATATTATTCCTGAATAACATCTAACAACATATAAATAAATATGCCGGCACAGAGTATCCTGTGTCGTACACCCGATTTGTGGCCGGGATTGTGTGTGGTTTTTTGTACACCTAGGGAGAAGCCATGTTATGCATGCAAATTATGCGGGCCACGGCTTACCTGACCTGCACTATACTACTCGTACTCGCTCTCATACATCGCTCTCTTCGTCTGGCTGCGCATGCCCACCTGGGACAACGTCATTGTCGTTGCTAGCGCGCGCTAGTTAGTTTTAACCTCGGCGCGCATGCGCAGCGAAGGTACGGTAGTTAGTTGTACCGGGTCCAGGGGGGTGTGTCTGTGTGTCTGTCTGTTATATACCATAGATAGTAGAGGGGTGGCCGGGGGGGCCGGGTTCTGGGCGGGCCGGAAGGGTGATTGGAAACGGGCGCACGTGATGCTATACGTTAAGCCGCCGTTTTTTTGCGCGGCGGCGGCACAACAAGCTTTGATCTAGGCGCGCGTTTCGCCGCGATCGCGTGACAGTAGTGGCACCAAGCCGCCTATGAGAATAGGACAACAGGGACATTCCCAGTTACTACTAGCGCGTGGAATACTCGCACTTTGAACTGTACACGTGGATACCAAGAAACCTGCAGCGTGAATTTTGCGTGGATTTTTTGTCGAGCCGCGCTCCTTCGTCGACTGAATCCAAGTGAGTTGTGTACCTCCTGCTGTCAGTAACTGGAGTGTACTGCCTCTGTATTGGCATGAGCTGTAGAACCTGTACAGGGGTGCACGGAAACGTAAGAGTTGTTGCCATATATTTCGTTTTGATGTAGGGAAGTCAGTTTTTTAGGTTTTCCAAGTGCCTGTACCTGTGTACCCTTAGTGTCGAAAGTGTAGGAATAGAAAAGTTGGATTTGTGTGCATATGAAAGCCCTTGTTTTGTTTTACAAGGATAAAGTATTAAAACCTGTATGAAAGAACTACTTTTGCCTCCAAAAAATATTTAGGTATACGTACAGTTTCACACCTAGTAAAACTTGCGCCTGTAGGTGGTAGAACCAAACAACAAACAAAAACAATAAAAACCAAACCTTCAGTACGGTCGAGGCAATTGCAGCCATAAAAGAAGGCTCTTTGCTGACCAGCAGCCTGTTAATTGATGATACACCATTGCCAAAAAGGCCAAGGCAGAAGTAATCGTGCCCCTTTTATCTGTATGTCACTTTGACTTTGAAGTGTTGTAATTTTATGTGCAGGAAACAAATTTGGCCACTAATAATCATTGTACAACAGTCAGAATAATACAATTACACATACATGTACATACCACAATAGTTTTATCCGTACATCTTTAGGTGGCGAGAATGAAAAAGCAACTAGTCAGCTTGTTGCAGGCGAAGGTCTTTCCGCAGAGCCCTTTCCTTGCTGCTGGAATGATGTGCTTTTTTGTACTCCTCAAACCATGCGGCTGTCAGGGAGTAGCCACGAATGGTTACCCATAGCTGAATGACACTCTTCAGTAGTTTGTCTGCATCTTCAGTGGAGTGTATGTCAATCGAGAGCATCGACCAGTAAAAAAGCACGTCTTCACTCTCATACTGTCTCATCAATTTCAGAGCAACGTACCCACTTACATAGCGCAAAGCATTTTCTTCTTCCCGAGTTCATAGTTGGCAGTTCAGCTGCACTGCTACTGTGTGAAGCTTCCACAGGTTCGGCAAAATGTTCCACCATCATTTGTTCGAAGACGTTTCTGTTCACACTCTTTAAAAGAAGTGGAGGAACGCTGCCCAGTGACAGATCTGAAAACAGACCCATCCACAATGTAGGAAGTTCACGGATGCGTACAGAATGAAATTGTGTCATAGCCGTTTCTCTGGCTAATTCTTCTCGGCGTTGGTGGACGGCAACGAAACATGTATGCAGTAGAGCGACCATCTTGCCACAAAAGATGACTCCTACATCTCGTTAGTAGACGACCTCATTTGTGAGAGATATCCCGTGCTTAACACAGTGACATTGCTTCTCTCGCTGTTACGGATCGTTGCTGCAATCGCTTGCTTCACCTTCTCTGCTGCCATCTTCGCGCAAGCCCGCACGAGACGATTCATCCGCGCGATACGTCAATTTTTATTTCGAGAAAAGAGTTAAACAAGATTTTACACACGATTTGGCATCTACCCCCTCGTTCACACACTGCTATTGTTCATTGTGTCGCATAGGTTCAAACCATTTCAAATACATTGTATAAATCCTTCCTGGTAAAAGCTCTCTCTTCTTCTAATCTCATCAGTACCATAATTTACTGAGTCTGCTCATCGCTGAAAAGACAAGCCTCTCGGTCGTGAGGACTTTCGATGTCCGGGTGTTCTGTCTGTTTACCTTTTTGAACAGAAGCAGTGTCGTTGCTGGACGAGAACGAGGCCCAAGTTGAAGCGCGTTATATCGGCGCATGCGCATAACTACGACGGACGGTGTGTCGTGAAAATTCCACTAGGGTCCGGCTTTTAGAGGGTATGAGCGCCAACAATGTTTTAAGATCAATCGTAGTCAGACACAGGAAGAAAAGGCACTCATTCTTGAAAAACAGTGTCATATCTAGACTTGGTGAGCTGTCTGAGGGTCTCTCGGTAGGTCCCAGCTGAACTGTACAGTCCATGTGAGCTGCCCCTCGCCCCAAGCCCGGCCCCGACCTGCCGCATCTCAGCCTGAAAATGTGTAATGACAGATCAGTAGCACACACAATACTGCAGTGTACAACTGGACCTTGACGGGCTCCACGATTCCCTGATTTGATTTCCCCAATCCTTGACCTTCATTCCATCCCATTGCCTGTACAGAGAATGACTTTCACTCACTGAACCTCACATGAACTACAATATTACGTATGCACCTGTAACATTTTGTTTCCCAGGTTATCTTCTTTTAGTCCTTCAACTGTAGGCTGCTCATACCTACAGAGGAGTGTTTGAATGACACATATGTACATACGTGCGTATCTATAATTGCACATACTTTGAGAATTTGGCCTTGTCAATCTCCCTCTCCAGCCTCTTCTTCCAGCCTGGGACAACGGCTGGGGTCCCATACTTTTCCCGTCGTTCCTTGGCACGATCTCTATACACCATCTGTATAATGTGTATATACATGAATAGTTTTAGCACCAGAGGGACCAAGACAGTTTGGAAGCTTAATCCTACACAATGTGAACATGTTTCCCCATAATTATGTTTGTAGCTGTTACTAGACAACATGATCGATCAACAGTACGTTAGTCAAAACATCACCTCAGCAGCAGGTTCTTCAGTTGGTGGTGGTGGATGCTGGGCAACTGCTTTGGATGCATTCTGTTTCAGACTTGCCAGGTTTTTCTAAATAAGGTAAAATGTACCAGGTGTCATCGACATCAAAAGAAACTACACATTATATAGGAGGATCTCACAACACTCTGCACTCTATACCAGGGCAACTCGGCTGGTAGCTAATGTAGGGGTTCAACAACACACAAGACAAAGGCAACACTCTGCACTCTATACCAGGGCAACTTAACCGGTAGGGAGGTGTTTAACAACTGTGCTACATGGCACACTATACTTTTAACTCAGCACATAATACAATGGACAGTGAGACAGCAGTATAATACACAAACTCTGGATACGTACCTTGTGGAGGTCTGAGAACTGCTGGTGTTTGACGAGGACTTCCTTTGACTGGAACTTCCTCTTGCAGACGAGGCAGGCCAGCTGGGCCCAGTCAGTGTGGGCGGGGTCAGAGTCAGCCCCGGGAGGCAGGGAGGGGGTGGGGCCAGCAGGGATGTCAGGGACATCTGCTGCCAGGGTGCTGAGAGCTGCCTTCTCCCTGGCAGTGTCTTGCTGTGTGGGGAAACCAAGAGTAACATCCTTCACACTACGTAGGTTGAGAAGTTCTTTACTACACACATTAGATAGCACATGCTTCCGTACGACCAAAACATTATGCCCACAGAGTGTGCTTTGCTGGATTTAGAAATAATGTTAGCTCCGTGGGATGTGGCAACAAAAAGATTTTTTCATTCCTTTGCGTTGTGAGTTTGAGGTAGCTAGTATACATACAGTATGAGTCAAAAAATGTTTCCATTATCGTGCAGTTCCGTTCCAGAGAACGATAATTACCGTTCGTTTCGTTTCGTTTGCCGTTTTCCACGGCGGTACTGTTTGGTTTTGCCTAGTGTATTGTTCTGTTTCCTTTGGTTTGTTTCATTTCTTTTACTGTGCCAGCAGAGATCGTCAACGCGCGAGTGACTAGCAATCTGGGGGCTATGCCCACTTTTGAAAATTGCGTATATACAAGGTTTCTCCTTGTTGTGAGAAGGCGGCCTTGAGCACGAAAGTGCGTCTGGGAAGCGGAAGGTGCACCAGCGAGCCTGGCTTTCTCCGGCGAAAAAAAGCGGCACTTGGACTGAACGGAACGGAACCGTAAAAGAACCAAACGAAACGTTATACTTTTTTGACGCATACCGTACATATTGTTTCGATCACGGTTCCTTTCCTGAGAGTTACTTTTAGCTAAACCACATAAATTCTCCACATACGGTAGTTACAGTAGCTAAAGGGAAAGAGTGGCTGACCTCCAGAGCAGCGGTCAGCGAGATGCCACTCCTCCTGACCTCTGTACCCAGAGACAGCTGCTGCTGTTGATCTCCGGCTGTGTCGCCCCGGACTGCGACCTCTGCCCTCTCCAGCTGTATGAGAGCCTTCAGCTGCTGCTTCTGAGAAGCCTTTGCTGCATTCACAGTCTTTGCCCACCTCTCCATGTCCTTGGCAATCTAAACAGAACACGGGCTCATCATGAACTGCAGCTATACTAGAACAAGCATTGTTGGCGAGTGAAGAGAGCAGTTTAACATTTCACCTGTGTTTTCACGCGTATTTAGAAAATAACATTGCAACGACATTACTATGTGTATGGCAATCCCATATTCAGACGACTAGGCTTTGCACGCCAATTACAATGTACATTAAACGTTGTACAGACCACCCAGTAAAAATTGAAACATAACGTGAGGTCCATACAGACACAGGGTATGTAGAAATTTGAGTGAGTGGCACTGCTATTGCGTATGTACAACACACAACACAAGATGCACACACCTTCTTAGCATTTAATGGCTTTGTAACTTCAGCTTTCCTTGGCTCTGTAGTAATGTAAGATAGTGGCTTAAACCAGGCTATCTCACAGAGCATAAGACTCACGTGTGTCTGCGGTGGTGGCGACTGCTGATAACGTAGACACTGACGTGGTGGTGCCTGATGTCGCCACTGGATTCCTGTAAAATTGGCAGAATAATCAGATACGTAGTTCAAGATGTGATTCTCATGACACTATGAAATTTTGAAGCGCTGTTGGATTGACAATATACATACATAGGTGAAAAATACTTACAGTACCACTCACCCCTGGCTGTCTACAGGGATGTAGGCCTGTTGAGTAGCATCAAAAAAGCAGTAGTTGCCAGTCTTTGAATTGTAGTGGTACTGAAGACGGAGGAAAAACCATCCATCATTAGTGTGTCCTCAATAGTAATACTATTATACCTGTGTCTTTGGATCATAGTAGAGTCCGGTGGAGGAGTCGTGGTAGAAGCCAGAGGTTGGGTCGTACGAGTACGTGGAAGGAAGGTCAGAGGCTTCTTGAGTAGTGGATGCCACGGCACTAGACGTGGCAGGCACAGTCGAAACGGCAGATGAAGATGCTGTGTACGTGACAATGTGTGCATTGTAGAATTTAGCGTGCAAAGAGAAAAAAGAAAGACTCTTCTAAGTGAGTTTCGTGACAGTGAGTAAAATCATGAAACGCATATTGAACACACTGTGCTTTGCACGTACAAAAACATAGACACAAACACTCCATATGCATGTATATATATGATACAAGACAAGGAGCATAGAATATCTGCATCCTGTTGTGTGTGCTGTGTGTGTCTCATATGCATGTGTATTGCAGGAGAGAGTGGTGTTGGGAGGCGAGAGGTGATGAACTGCAGACACACTGACAGAGAAGATGGGGGAAGAGGAGATACAACACATGGCCGACCAACCTGGCTGATTAGTGGAGTGGACACTCTGGTTCGAGACATGGGAGAAAATAGACAACAGAGAGAAAGAGATGAATCAGATTACGACTGTTGTATTGGACAAGTTTTTTGTGTCTAGACAAAGTCGGAGCGTCAAGTACCAACCACCTGATGATAGATGCAGAGTTCTCTTCGAGTACACAGGAAGGCGGAGGGCAGTTAGCGTGTTTTGTATTCATACACACAATCCCACATACAAGTATTAGCCATCACAGTACAGAAAAAATGGTGCTAGCTAGAGTAATTTACCAGTCAAGCTTCGTAACTACACGTATGTGTTTGTTCTCGAAAGAGCAGTCAGTTGTCCTCTCGTAGGATCCACCAAACCCATGTGCTCAAATCATAATTAGGCTCACATGCACAGAATGAGTATATTGTCACATATCAATTATTGCATGGTACCAGGTGTATAAAACGTTTTGGCCTTACACATAGGTTTCCTACAAACAATACGACATGGCCATGTATATAGTACACACTCACAGTGCACCACACAATTCAGTACATACGAAACATGTATGTAAGTAAACGCCATACCCAGACAGATACAACATGTGCTACAGTGACATGCACTAAAACAGGGGTGAATATTAAACAGTGTGGACACAAAGGATTGTGTCTTTGTCCACAGTACCTGATCCTGCTGGGTGCTAGCTGGGGGCTGACTGTACTGAACTGGTGCCTGATGCCATTGAGCACCCTGCTGGATTAAAAACAGTCATGGCATCAAACTGACTAAGATCATAAAATACTGCTCAAGCACCCGATTTGGGTGGCTTTGAACATTGTTTAACACACAGCGGAGACAATCATACTCAAGCTGTTTTTAGAAATTCGTAGCATTGGAGGGAACTTGTCCCGCGTGTAATCATGCCTCAATACTGGGTATTGAGGCAGAATCTGGTCAAGGTTAGAGTCCTCATTAACCCTCGGCGTGCATGCGCAGCGAGGGCTACAGTACTTTTCATGTGTGTCTGTCTGTCCGTTACCCCAACATGAATCACTCCACAAACAACACCACGTATTTAGTGTCGGATAAAGGTCGAAAATTATGTAGGGTTTTCTCTGAAACTGCATTAGAGAGGTAATTACGTGTATATACCGCATTCCGCCTATTCGCATACCGTGGAGGCAAAGGAAGTCACCATGGAGGGCGAGTGTTGCGTGTCGTTATGCAACACTATCTAACACTCAGAGAGTTACAGCTAGAGACCACTAGACAAGTAAAACATTACAGCATAGCCACGCACATCAATTAGCGGTAGTGAACCGTGCATGTGCAATGCAGGCTCCTAGTGCACCGAGGGTTTGCACTTACTTTTTTTATTAACCCTCGGCGCGCATGCGTCTGTCTGTCCGTCTGTTACCACGTTTTCTGCCACCACGTGCAACAAACAGGTAAAATAGCGACACCGACAGGTTCAGCGCTACACTGGCTTGATTTTAAAAAATGGCGATTTTCGTAAAAGTGCCGCGTTCAGAAGTTATGGCGTGAAAACCAAGTGAACAAGCCAATATGCTAATTAGAACTAGCTTACCTCGACCTGATCTGCTTGCTCTGTGTACCTCGGAGGCACAAGAAGTCACAACGAAGGGCGTGTATCGACTCCCGCATGCTATCTACTACTGTAGCTAGCCCGTTTCAGACTCTCCGCGAGCTAAGCGGGAGTAAACGTATACTAGTATAATAGGCCCAGCCCATCAATTAGCGGTACCGCGCATGCGCAGTTCGCCGAGGGTTTGCACTTTAGTGCTTTTCATTAGCTTATTGACTTCTTATTACACCATTACTGTTGAACGCAGTAAGTACCTCTAAGACGAAGTACTGGCTTCAGTGTGTGCACCAAGAGTTAATGACTCAAGGTGTCCACGTACAATACAGAATGCAGCTTATTGACTTCTTATTACACCATTACTGTTGAACGCAGTAAGTACCTCTAAGACGAAGTACTGGCTTCAGTGTGTGCACCAAGAGTTAATGACTCAAGGTGTCCACGTACAATACAGAATGCAGCTTATTGACTTCTTATTACACCATTACTGTTGAACGCAGTAAGTACCTCTAAGACGAAGTACTGGCTTCAGTGTGTGCACCAAGAGTTAATGACTCAAGGTGTCCACGTACAATACAGAATGCAGCTTATTATTAGTTGTCGTAACTGTATATCTGTATGTACTGTAGATACCTGTTGACTGGTCTGGGTCTGTCCGAGGCTAGAGTTCAGTTGTGGAGCTAGAGACTGAAAACATAATTTGGTGTAAACACACATTACACATACGTGTATGTATACTGTATGTATTATATATACTTTTTATTGTACATTGATTACCATGGACCACTGAGCCTGGGCGATAGCTGCATTAGCAACGTTGTGGGTTCCCGTGGATTTTGGGTTGTTGCCTCGAGCATACGTCACAGTTACTGCGGAATAAGAATACAACAATCCGTACACGGGATGAGATGGAGTGTGTCTAAAACTCACTTCTTCTTCCATCGACAAAGAATGCAGGTGTTTGCTCCAGCATTTTTCGAAGTGCCATTGACGTTATCTGTATACACAATGCAGGTACAGTACATAATGCAACAGCTTGCTACTGTGATGTACAATACAAACCGAAGAGAGTTTATTGACCTCGTAGTTCCCTGAATCTATTAAAAGGCCCAGTACCGTTGTTCCCCCATGAAATTCCCGCAAATTTCACAGGCACATAGTACAATGCATTTTTGGTGAGCGAAACGATCAGTTTAAATTTTTTGAGCATACTGAGGATCACATATAACATGATGGTATATGTGCAGTGCTGCCGTGTTACAGATGTAGGTATAAAAATACCCACATTCAGACAACTAGGCAGGCTCACTTTGCTTGCCCAATACTGTAAGCAGCAAACATCAGACATTACATAGCTATACAAATAGTCCCACGTGACAAGACCCACCTCTCCACTGGAGAACTCCAGGAAGCAAAACCCGCGCGAGGCGCTGGTGATGTGGTCTCGAATGATCCTCACATCCACTGGCTGCTGAAGTCCCTCCAGGCTGGCCAGAGCCCCTCGAATCTGGGCAATCACACACCCACACACAGTATAGACACATCAGATACAGAATGGAGAATCAGCCCCGTTGACAAGACTAGGTTGGCTCTCTCTGCTCGCCAATTACTGAAAACAGAAACTTACTCATTTGCATTCTTTGCACTGGGCCCTAATTTTTAGCTCTATCTTTAGCCCTTATGTACCGTAACAATCAAACTACACATTGTAATGCGTTTTGCGTGTGCTTACAGAGCTCTCGGTGGAATTTACATCCAGCCCCTTCATTATGAGGACTGAAATGAAAGTCACAAGTAATGACAAGCTAGTACAGGGTGGTGTTGGAGTTGCCACGGACCGTTTGATGGGGCGTTGTCGTCTCGAGGTCCGGTATCCTTCCCACTTCGAACATCTTCATGAAACTGGTCAGACTCTAACATCAACACACATGAAACACATCAACATCTGTGACACACATGACAGCACTACAACAACACTACAATAAGAGCCGTGCCCAAAAAGCATTCATCTTAGCAAGTAGCCATGTACAAATAAATTACAAATGAAAAAGCACTAAAGTGCAAAACGTCAGCGAACTGTGATTGGGTGATACCACCAATGGGCTAGTAGGTGTTTACTCGTGGTCTCCCGCTAGTAGCTCGCGGAGAGTCTGACACAGGCTAGCTACAGCAGTAGATACCATGCGGCGGTCGATACACGACCTTTGTTGTGACTTATTGTGCCTTCAAGATACACAGAGCAAGCGGCTCGAGGTATATATAATAAGCCTGTTCTAATTAGCATACTGTCTTTTTAGCTCGTGTTTTACACCATAACTCTAGAACGTAGCAGTTTCAGAGAAAACCACACATACTTTTTGACCTACGTATAACCAACGCTGAATACGTGGTATTGTTTCTGGAGTGATTGATGGCTCGTGAAGTGAGATGTCGTGCGGACGCCGTAACTCCCGAACGCAGCAGTTTCAGAAAAAACCCTACATTATTTGACCTTTATCTGACGCTGAATACGTGGTATCGTTTGTGGAGCGATTGATGGCTCAACAAGTGAGATAGCTCGCGGACAGACGGACGGACAGACAGACAGACAGACACACATGACAACTACCGTAACCCTCGCTGCGCATGCGCACCGAGGGTTAAAAAGGTGCCCTCAAAAAATAGGAGCAAAAAGTACCAGATGATTTAACGATTCTACCCCACCCCAGTCAAAACTAAGCAAATGTGTGACGGTGTGATGGAGGCTATTACCTGTTCTAGTGCAGTCACATGTCATGCAGAACCTCCTCCGGGAGAAGTTGACTGTGTTACACTGAGCAAGATACAAGAGAGCAACAGCATGTACACAGGTGTATAGGAACAAGCAGTCTAACCTTGAAGCAGACCCAGTCTCTGCTCTCGTTGTTTCTATCCCTCCACTGGTCCCTCTGGGCTCTACTGTAGTCGACATCCACTCTACTGCCACACAGGTAGAGTGGGTCAGCCTGCACACCACAGAATACAGACACACACCAAGAGGTCGAGGTTGATTCAAAGCTCCACAGGAATTTAAAGATACAGCAATGGGGAAATGTGGTGCACTTGTTTAGTTATGGTGGGGGAGGTTTTTCTTTTCCTCTCTTTTAGCTAGTATGCTATAAACATGTTTTTTCATGTGAGGCACAAAACCACACAGTGGTAAATTTTGATATTGTACCTCGATTTTCTCCATCCACCGCGCAGAATCTTTTGCATCGTAAAACTCCACGAAAGCAAAACTACTGGAGCCTGTTGGACCAGACACACACACCAGGGGAGTCAGAATAACACGACTGCTACAGGTCCACAAACCTTTCCTGGTCACAAGGCGAATGTCCCTCACAAACGAAACATCATCTCCAAGTGCCTTAGCAATCTGTACACGTTCAGTAGGACCCAAGTGCATGTATACATGTGTATGTACACATGTATTTTATAGCATGATTCCACATGTTTCACATACTTCAAGGTGCCGTATAGAATAGAACGCACTGTATCTATTACATTCCCATTAACTCACATCCTCCTTGAGAACGGATTCCCTTATATTCCGTAACATAATCACAGTCGGATCCTCAATACTGCGACAGACAATGCAGCACAATATTATTCAGACATACTTATATGATACTATAGGGCACACACTACCTGCCGTGGTCTCTGCTTGAGCCGTCTCTTCTCTCCCTGGCTCCATCTCTACCATCTCTTGAGCGGTCGCCACTCTGCTGCCCGACAGCCACACACAGCAGAGACCGGGAGGGTGGAGGGTGCAAAACACACGTCAGGAAATGTTTATCAAGGCTCGGGCTCTCGTGCACAACTCAGTCTACAGTTGCGACTCTCACTCGTCTCCGGTACGTGTCGTCCTTTTCCCAGCGGGAAGAGCGCTCCCTGCTACGGCTCCGCGTCCTACTCCGTCTCCGCCGCCGCCGCTCACGACTACGGGACCGCGACCTGGAGCGGGACTTCGATCCGCTCATAGAGCGCCCCCTGGCGCGACTTCGACTCTCTCTCGAGCTGTATCTGTCATCGTAGCTGTAGACAAAGGAAAACCGTAACATTCTAAATGATGCACCCTATACTCACAAACTTTACTAGCGACAGCATTGTAGTTACTGAGGATCAAGCCGGCACTCACCTGCTCTCCATATCCTCAGCAAATCACTGTAGCTGTACGCAAAAGGACACAGGCACTCACTAGCTATCTAGAGACGACGGTGTGCGTATATACGTGTGTGCATCCTGGGTATCACGTGACTTTAGAAACTTCACGTGATCTGTCGAAAAGAAGGGCGTTGCGTGAGGTTTGCTGACTTCGGCTAGACCCGTGCGTCCGTGTATCTCAGTCATGGAGGTGATGGACGTAGGTATGCCCATCAGGGGAGTTACACTGTACGACAACGGCTACGCAGTTTTCCAAAGGGAAACGACGGTTGGGGGACACGGTCACGTCGACCTCTACTTTCCCTCCGAGCACATGCAGAGCGTCCTGGAATCCCTGCAGTTTTCGGGGACCGCAGGCAAGAAAGTAGGCAACATCGCCTACGAGGCCACTCGCCCATCCTCCAGTATCGACATCCAGCGAGAAAACCCTCTGCTCGGCCTTCTTCGCTCCCTCACAGGCGTCCGTATGTCCCTTCAAGAAAGGGCTGGGGACGGGCGGATAGATGGGCGTATTCTCGGCGTTGAAAATTTGACGGTGGGGGATTCTAAACTGGAGCATGTTAGCGTACTTCTGGACGGAGGTGCAATACGCACCCTTTCAGTACAGGACATCACTAGCTTTCAGGTGCTGGAGACCCAGGTACAGCAAGACATCAAGTTTTCCCTAGACCTCCTTCAGAACAGCTCAAAGCACAACATGCAGAAACTCAGTGTGTTCTATAGCGATGTTGAGGGTCAGGCAACGCTCATTGCCCGGTATGGTTTCCAGGTGAGCGAGTGGAAGAGCTCGTACCGCATGCAGATTCTGGGGGACTCTTCGAGATTGGATCTCCAAGGTCTTGCCATAGTCGAGAATATTCTTGATGAAGATTGGAACGACGTGAACCTCACCCTAGTCGTGGGTGCCCCGGCCATCGAGAAGGCGTCGCGAGGCTCAGTCGACCACGGGGAGTGGGAGATTTCCATCAAGACACTGGACGGGTCACTGGTGAAGGTCCGTGCCAACCCGAAAGATCCAGTCCTCCTCATCAAAGCCAAGGTGGCCAAAAAGAAAGGGATGAAACCTTCATCGTTCAAGCTCGTTTTTGCCGGAAAGCCAGTGGAGGATGGTCGCGTGCTGTCAGACTACTCCATTCGCAACTGCAGCACGCTCCATATGATGAAGGTGGAAGGGAAAGGAGGAGGAGGAGCGGGAGACGAGGCTGGGCCCCAGGCCCAGTTTGTGATGGCGGCACAAGACAACCTCTCCTACTATCCCATCCCCATGAGGGTCACTGCTCAGAGGAAGCAAAAAGCCATTGTCCCGTTACTGAATGAGCAACTAGAGGGACAGAAAGTGATGCTCTACGATGAGACCATCCGCAAAGGCAACCCAATGCTGGCAATACTGTTTGAGAACACAACTGGCCGCACGCTTGAGGGAGGGACTCTGCAGATATCCTCTAGTGAGACATTTCTCGGCCAGGGAACCCTCCCGACCCTCCACCCGGGAGACGAGTCTCCCCCCATTCCGTACGCTGTCGAGCTGGGCTGCGAGGTGGTGAAGCAGTGCGACACTTCGTACCTGAGGCCTCATCAAGTCACGGTCAAAGACGGCACCGTGAGCATCTACCGAACCTGCCGCGAGCGCACCTTGTACAAGATCAGAAACAAGTCAGAGAAGGAGCTAGATTTCCTCCTGAACCACCTCTTCTTGGAAGACTACGACCTCGTCCAGATCCCTGACAAGGAGGAGGAGGGAACCAGTTGACATAACCGATAGATTCTACCAGTTCCGTTTTGTCGTTCCCCCCAATGTGGATAAAAGGACCTTTGCTGTGAGGGAAGAGGCGACTGACCTGAAGGAACATCTGATCAAGGATCTCAGTGTGGAGACGCTGGACACCTGGGTTGAGAAACGGCTCCTCGACAAACAAACGGAAGATGCGATTCGTGCGTCATTCAAAACAAAGCGGGAGATGCAGTCCATCATGAAGGGTGTCTTTGAGAGGGAGGCGGAGGTTCGCGAGGTCATGGTCACCCAGGAGCGACTCCGAGAGAATATTTCGGCACTGGAGCACCACGAGAAGGAGGCGGCCAAGTACATCAAGAGCCTCTCGGCTGAGGAAGACAGGCTAAAGGCTCTTCAAGCCACCATCAAGCAGAGCCGACAGAAGAAGATGCAGCTGGAAAAAGAGATGAATTCAACGATTGAGAAGATCTCTTACAAGAAAGAATTTCCCCGTGCAGATACTGACAACTAACCTATTATAGAAGAGTAGCTAGTTGCATTTTGAATGGTGTTTGTAACAATACCAAGTTTACTATAATAGTCCTTCTGAAAATGCAAGTTTACTAAAAGTATATTCTCGTTCACCTTGCCGGTAGGAAATCGGCCATAATAAATAGCTAAACAGCGATCGATTACGAAATTTCAAAGCGCAGCGTGGTTGTAAGCGTTTGCGAGCAGCACGCGCGTCGTCCAACGCCCACTCACGTACTTATTAGCACATAAGCACGCGACGTTCCCTTTGTCGACCACGAAAAATGCAATCACACGGGTCCAATGTGCGCGCTTACGCGTAGAGTGTGGGCGCGTAGCGCAGCGCGAGTAAGAACCCTCTCCCCCCCGCGGGAGCCCAGACCAAGGAAAAGGCAAGAATGAGAGGCGAATGACAGTGTGAAGGTCAATAAACCGTCTTTACTAGAAAAACTCATGGAACCACTCGTGGAACGTATTCAATGCATGCGCGACATGCCACTGCCCACAAGCGAGATTTCAATTATGACGCTACCTTACGTAAACAGTTAGTTGTGACTATAATAATTATAGTGCACTTCCGGCGGCAAGGTGAACGCCAACAGACTTTAGTCCTCCTTATAATATTATACACATAATTATATGCAGCCCTTGTGAGATGACAATAATAGGTAGGTTTGCCTTGATTGTATAATATTTGTATATTTTTCTACGAACTTATTTTACAGAGATTTTACTTTTTTCTTTTTACTTTTTACTTTTTCATTAATTAAGATCAGTTCTTTCTACTTTTTATATTTTTCTACTGCCTCTGTATAGTAACTGTCATTGTGATTGTTTGTCATTGGGTTTGGATACTAGCAGGTGTGTGGGGAGAGTTGGCATGCCATAGAAGACTCTTTAACCCACCGCTCAGTTCTCAAGGCTGGGCACCTGGTGTCCTACCTTCTTGTGTGCAACTGTGTTGTTTGTGTCTGTGTATGTACTTGGGCGGAGGAGGTGGGGGGTGGAGGGTGACTTCTGGTTTTCTATTCTCTGTGGCTAGTATGCTATATAATATACTTTGGGAAAGATCACAACACCAGAGAAAAATATACGACAATGTATCAGTTCTGAATTTTGACTGGCATCAAACATTGTTTTACTGTCACCTAACAGTTTTTAAGGGTATAAAATGCATGACATCGTTCTGATCGAGAGCTGACAATAAAGTCTCTGTGTAATGTCTTTAAAATGGCTAACACAACTGTAGTTTTTTTGCCAGAGCTTCAGCAGCACTCTCTTCAGCCTCTGACACACTGGGTTGTGCGTCACCTCCCACCCAGCCACACGTCCTCGCCACATACACCTCTGCTGTGTACTTACGCCCTTCGGAATGATGTCGAAACCTCGGTTCGGGCTTCTCGTTGTCTGAGCAGTAGAGAGAGATTTTCTCCTTGGATGTGCTGCACGTGGAGTATTTGGAAGTGTTCCGTGAGACAAGAGCTTTTCGCTGTTTCATGACTTTGGGGGAGGTTTTGGTGGGTCCACTGCTGTCTTTATCAGTACGTGATAATTGTGGTTTTAGAGCAGAAGGTGATCTCTTGGAAATCCCAGATGCTATAAGAAAAGAATTAACATAATTATATCACTTTACCACCATTAATTGAAGTATTTTAATATAAGAGCCCAAATACGTTTGATTAGTTCACTGTTTGACACTCTATGGTAGCACTTGCTGTACTGGGTATGCTCATTGCTCTGGGTTGGTGGTAGTGTTGCGTAGCCAGACTCTTACTTGGGAGGGAAAAGTCTGGTCCACTGACTTGAGCACTTTGTTTGCATGCCTCCACTAAGTGTCGACTTACAATGTGCATGTTTATGTCACACTGGACATGCACAGCCGTAGGTATATTGACCAAGCAAGCTATGCAACAAACACTGTGCATAGAGTGTAGTAGAAATCATGAGTTACTACACCCGACATCCAAATCCTTTCACCCCTGGAACCAGGGGGTGCACTAAACCAAAGTATAGGCAAGACCATTATGGCTGTGGTGCTATCGATGCTACGTGATTGGAATACAGCTACTTGCTGTAAAATCGTTCTCCTGCACAAGTGAGTATGAAGTTTCATACTGCAGTTTCTGCAGTGAATCCCACCTGGCTCATCAGCAGACTAGCCACTCTTGTTTGCTTGGTGACACAAACTTGTTTGCATAACTAAACAGGTTGCTAAAAACTGCTCTATGACCATTCAAGAACTAGCAAAACAGAAAATCACCGCAAACTGGCCTTTGCACCATTACTATAAGTTGTGGTTACCCACAAAGAAATCCCCCCCCAAGTACATAGAATTTCATGAATTGGTGTGTTCTGGGGAACACTATCAGCTGACTGCTATTCTGTAAAAACGAAAGTGTAATAGAGAGGAAAGCAGTACCACATATCGGAGCCTAGATATTGTGATGTTGGGACTGATTTGAACAAGCACACTAACACACTGTTGTTATTCTCCATGTGTACAACACCGGGTGGTAGCTAGACTTGTGGTGAGAGTGGCCACAATATCATTAACCCACTGTGTTAGTTACATAGGCTGAGCATCTGGTGTCCCACTTCTATACAATATAATATTATACCTTGCCACATTTTGTGCTTCAGTTTGTAATTGCTTGTGTTTCGAAGTTTCGTGTTACTATGAAGTACATACTCCTTGGCTCTACATAATGCCAGTGCTATGCACATACCATTAACTGCCTTTGCCTCTCTCAGCAAGTGGACCTCTTCATTGAGACGTGACACTAGCTCTGGCTGTTGGTAGCAGCCCACTTGGTCCGTGTGGAATTCACGGCACAGCTCAGTATTCACTTTAGTCAGAACATCCAGAACAGACGCATCTGTTGTACGCAGTTTCTCTGCAAGAATGTTCATCCAGATACCACCTGTCTCCTTGCTCTCATGGGCCCTGTGATCAGGCATTGTAGAGTAGGCCACCAGGAAGTTACTCTGTTCAGGTACTTTGAGTGACACATCGTGACCGCCTTTCGTCACCAGCACTGGTTGAGTTTGCAGTGAGCCTCTGCAAGCATCTATGAAGAATAGCTTTGGTATAGCTCCAAGGTGGGGACTTTGACCAGGATAAAACTGCTTCATGATGTCATGAAAGTTGACCTGCTTCCCATCTTGTGTATAGAGGCAGTGTTTTGTTGTACCATGCCCTGAAAACATGAAAACCACTCTCTTGTAATTGGGCAGACACTGGCAGCGCGCCGTTTCTCGGACCAGTCTCCTTGTGACTGTGGCTGTTGCGTTTCGCTCCCAGTGGGTCTCAAAATTCAGCAGTTCCATGGTCTTGCACATCTTCTGGCCGTCCACCCGGGCTCCACTCAGTGTCGGAAGATGACTACTAGTACTACTAGCACCAACTTCTCGGTAGTCGTTGGTGAAGATAAGAGCCAATCCATTTACTCGCGGATTCTGGCCCAGCGCTATCGGACGCGATTGGGTAGACATGTCCCAGCAAACTGAAATCGATCGCTCCGCGGTGTGGCTATAATTATAGTCGCATCTTCGTCGTGCAAGTGCGCATGCGTCGAGATTCAGTAGTCTTTTGCTGAGACAAATTAATAATATAGGGATGGTGTCATGTAACTTTGTGCATCTTTGCTGCGTAATGACCCTTGTTTCCTTTTTGGTGCTTCAAGCCATCCCTATATCGCCCTTTAAATGATTTTTCCACTTGTATAATAATATTCACTTGAAGTTTTCACCAAAATGTTGTCTTAGTTGCCTTCATATTAGCTATAATTATACAGCAGCAATATAAAAATGCATTAGGTTTCTGAAGATAACAGACTTTGCCTGATCTCCATGCAGAATGACCACCGCAAAAAATCACCCAATGATTTTTCGTAACAAACCTTAAATCCAGCCGGTAGCCAAAGGATGCGCTTTTATCCAATTTAATTGGTGTCAGTGGTCTTCCAAGGCACCCAGCCTCATCTGGCATGTCTACACTTGCCGTCTGCTGAGCCTGTCACTGTCATCCTTAACTATATAGCTCGCACGTTCGTACAGAAGTATCCAGTTGTGGCTTATTGACCGTGGGCATGCATGTGTCAACTCGTTGCAGTTGTATAATATGAGCATTAGTACAGGATCTCATCAGCTAGGGCAGGATTTTTTCCTCCAGCTCTATGACAGACAGCCTCACTCAGTCTTCGCTGTGTTGGCTCTCCGTATTGACTGGTGTTGTAAGCCCTATTTAGCCACTGCCTCAACATGGCAGTGAAACAACTTGTGACGTCATGATGGTTAGCTTGATGTATCGTCTCCAACTGAGGGTCTCTTAGTCCCAGTTCTAGTCCAATATCCCTCCACTTCGTTTCTACTTCCATGAGCTTCGACCTAACATCCTGGAGATCATCTATGACTGAAACAATATTGCTCAGTAAGAATGTGTGTTGTTTGGGAACATGGATACACACTCTAAAATGCCACATACCAAGCAAGATTGGTAAACTCAGGAAGGTCCAAGTCTAAGTTGAACTAAGTTGAACCACCATAGTCTTCAGCTAGCCCGACGGACTTTCTACAGGGCCGAGGACGCACCATCGCATATTATAAGCCTCCATACGTCACTAATACGTAACAATTACATGGACGTTGTACGCGGATAATTGACTAGCTGGTTGCCGGGAAAGAACCAGGGACCTCTGTTCGGCAAACTCAGCACTTAGCCACTTGACACGCTAGCTGAATTAAGAAGCATAAAATGTTGCTATGTATAATTATACCATAATCACGCGTGTAGTGATTCGGGCTTCAATGATAGGCTGAAACTTAACATCACACAGGTTTCACTAATTTTACAGATACACTAGTGATGAGAGAGGTAGCTACATGACTGTATATACAGGGGAGGTGATTATCAGTGAGATTATTTTGGAATTGTCTCAGTCACCTCATCAGCCAGAGCTGAGAGGTCGCAGTCTCTGAGCGTCTTGATGAGTGACTCCCACGTCACTGGCTCCACCCCCCTCCCCTCCAGCCACTCCTGGAGAAAACGCAGAATCGTGTCGTCTGCGTCTCCCTGACACTCCTTCTTGAGAGCGCACACTCGACTCCCGACTGCGTCGTTGAGGAGTAGGATTCCAAATGTGAAGTAGTTGCCACCGACTCTCTGCGGTATCTCGAGACGCAGCAAGTGAGGCAGAGTTGGAGGACCTGAGACAATTTAAAACATTTTCACTCAACCATCATCCTTCTTTTCTCAGTTGATGAAATGAATACACAACGTATATACAGGGGAAAGAGGGACAGTGACAGAGAGGGCGGTAGGAGAATGGCAAGAGAAAGAGGGAGAGAGAGGAAAGCAGTGACAAAAGAGCGGCTTTGTGGTTTCTTGGTTTTAGTTTCTCAACTTGTAGAATCGGCTACTCGAGTGCTGGGGCTACAAGTGTGTAATTTGTAGTTGAGGTTCAATAACCATTAAGAAAGATCCTAGTTATATATACCTAGTGCCATAGCGAGATTGTAAGGACTACATCTTCATCATCTATATACATCATGTGCGTTGTTTGGAAACACGGGTACAAACTCTAAAATGCCACATAGCTACCAAGCAGCTTGAGCTCAATCTGTGATACTACCTCGGTTTCAGCTATAAAAGAATGTATGGCTATTATACATAGCTAAATAATGTACCTGCAGGATGGGTTACAGGAGGACTTGTAAAGTCAGGAAGGTCCAAGTCTAAGTTGAACTTGATGCCACTAGTGGCTCCACTGAAGGTAATCTGGCCATCACCGAGTGTTGCGTTCTCCTTCAAAGAGGCAAAGAACACTTCAAATCGCGGAGGATAAAACTCGTCACTCTGCAGACACTGTAGTTCCCCCTCAGAAATATCGTCCTTAACAAAGAAATCCACTTCGCTATGAAAAACCTGCATTTTAGGTAAACATTCAATAAAAACTGTGAATGAATTAATGTTAAAAATTTACCGTGTCCCTTCCTTTCCATCCAATTCGACCATGCTTCGGTTGAGAAAAGTTCATCTCAAGTGCAGGATCTTGGGTGTCAGTGTTGAACCTAAAAGGCACCCTCTGTGTCTTATACCCCTCTCTGTACCTTTTATTAATAAGAGAGTCAACGTTTTCGAGACAGGTCTTCAGATTGAGAAAGGTAACAAAGAAACAACCCCCGACATTCTTACCCACCGGACTTGGACAACGTGGAAGAACAGATGTGATGCAAAACTGTGTACTGCTTGGGATGAATTTAGCAGCCAGACAGAGACTGCAAAAATGCGAGGTTTTAAGAGTGCCATGTGTTCTGAGAGTGTTAAAGTCCATTTTGCCCTCTGTTAATGGCTGGAATTCATACAGTCCTGCAGTGTTTTTGTTGTGGTTTGCTTTAAGGAAAGTGAGACCCAGAAATTTGATTTCCTCCTCATTGTCAAGATCAAGGAAGTGAGGGATAGTGACTGTGACTGGTTTCGAGAACTGGAATTTTCTTCCATTGTCACGAACGCAGACCCAGAACACAGGAGACACGGGTCTGAGACCTTCTGGGAACTGGAATGGGCCAAAGAGAGCCACTCCCACATCAACCGTGAGTCTCTCTCCTTCGGGAATGGCTCCCTCTTGGATCTCCAAAATGAAGTCATTGGTCTCATCAACGTACCTAATTCCCTTTTCAGTGCAGTCAGACAGGGTGGATGTTTGAGTCACACATTCTGGTATAGGACGACCCCCACAGTAGATTGGAACCGTTTTCTCTGATCTTTCTTCACTATTAACTGAGATACATGTAGCCACTGCTTTCGAGTCACCAAAAGTACTGGATTCTGTTTCAATGTGGCCACATGACTTATCTGGTTCTCCTGCAGAGGATGTAACACACACATGCAGTGAGCACCCATAATGTACATGCCCCTAAAGGGAAGAAGGGTTGCATAATATGGTCCGTCTAGATGTTCAACCATTATCCATCAGCCAGCTTAATGTCCAACTGACAGGTACAGAATAACAAGCAAACCAACTCGATGGTCAGTTCTAAGCAGAAGCTGATTGCTGAAATGGCTATAAACTAATGCAACGCACGTTTTCGGTGCAAGCGAACCCAGTGTGAAATTTCAGCAGACTTACATCTGCACTTTAGTGCTCTTCATTGTGAGTGGTTGTTATGTCACAACAACATTTCACATGCAAATGATTTCCTATGCTTTTACGAACCCATGGTGAAAACTGAATAATCTCTCTCTCCTTCCTCCTGCTTAGGAGAAACGTCTACATGAGACGATGATATCTCAGTTGCAGTGGAGCTGTCACGAGAGGTGTCTTGGACTATGTCATCTACTCTCCCTTGAGAGGAGGCTGCCTTTTGGGTCAGAATAGGGCAATCAATGTAACTGGACATGCCTCAACACCTGCAGTGTAGAGAAATTTATCGACTCACATTACAGAAAAAATGAACATAGTAAGTAGAATAATGCAACAAATTTTTGGCAAGTGAGCGTGAAAGTCACACGAACGCTGCATGCAATAGATCATTTCATTTTACCATGAGTGCATCCAAATGCACCTCTAGTTTGCATGAACACGGTAGTTGTACACTGGGACTTAGTTTTCACCAGTAGGGATGGGATCTTCGTGCTATCAGTAAACCTCAGTAAGGCCCCACTTGCAGCAAACAGAGTGGATTACCCCTGTAGCACGCTCCTAGCGGTATTCAAAGCTAACACAAAACCATCCGTTGTAGTATAGGAACACAAAAGACTACTAGGCATTGCTTACTTTGTCCGTCCATAGCAGACAAACACAAAAGCGGACGTGCCTCAGTCCATAAAACAAAATGGGCCTTTGCCAAATTGGGAAGTTTTAGGAGTCTGATGTGCTTTCCGAATTGCGTAAAAGAGGATTGCAGTATGGTGACAATGTCGGATACATATAAATTATCTATAGTACATAATAATAATATTATAGCTAAACCAAAAATCAGCCATTCATACGGCTCGCTCCCGCTCGCCACTTAGTCTTCCACTTTGTCATGGTTTAGAGCCTTGGCTTCTCCTTTTGATCAGATGCCAGTATAGCAAAGTGCCAAAACCCGATCTTCAAAAGCTTGCATGTAGCAATGTATTCTGACGGTGCTGGACATTGATTGAGCCTATGACTGTATAGCTGCCATCGTCCCTGCTGGCTAAAGGTGTTGGTGTGGGGAGCCCTCAAAACCCTGCACACATTCTACGTTATGTTAGGTTATGTCAATCAACAGGTCTGTTGTAGGATGTTGATGGGAGAAGCTCAGTACAGTGATGGCCCTACTGTAGCCTAGTGTGTCACAACATGCATGACATGACAGGAATTACATTTAAACACCAATTCACACCTCTGTTGGAGACTAGTATATTATAGTGCAAAATCAAGCAGTAGATTCTATAAGAGAAAGACACACAACCGATAATTCTGCTATGAAGAGTTGTTCTCAGAAGACATAAGTCACAGCCTAAAACAGGCCAAAACGCCTTAGAAGTAATGGTTATAAACTAGCTAGATGGTAGTAGGAAAAAACTGATGAAAGTCTACCAGCATTCTTCAGGGCAGTGCATTCAAACTTTACTTTATAACCACCGTTTGCGCGAAGATGGATCATGATCGGGGCCAGACCCAGTCTAGACTAAAGTGTCATCCGCGTCTGAGCTATTGCAACGCGATTGGCGAAAGTGGACCAGTAAGTAATAAGTAATGTAATTGTAGGTTTAGCCATACCCAAGGATTAGGTGACCAGATTAGTGTCTCTCTCTCTGTCTCTCTCTCGTAGAAAGCCTTTTCGAATTCACTCTAGTTCGGCGCTGTCGGCACTGTCGCCTGATGGGTGCGATATCCTAGCGTGGTAACAGTATATATTACGTGCAGGATTGATGTACTAGCTACGCATGCGCTTGCAAGCTATTGCCGAGGCGCGCGAATGTAAAAGGCCTATACACAAGCTTTTCAAACCCCGAAACGAACCTCGTCAAAAACCTGTGAGCAGTGTTGGGTCCTATATATATATATATATATATAGCCTAATTATATTAGATAATGTCTTCAGCCCTCCTATAGATGGCACTCTGTGATTGAGAAAAAATAATGTCGATCGTTCTTTCTTGCCGCTAGTCACTACGGAATGATATGGTCGACACTGAACAACGCCATTTGCTGCTAACTCCGCATCGTGAGCCGCGCGCATGCGCCAGGCAGGGGCGTTGTCCAATGCGCTAGCGAGCGATACCAGGCGAGTTGGCAGACCTGCAGACGAACTTTCAGCCTCCAGTACCTTCTGTAAGTAAGTGTGCACATTTCCAACTGGCTACCTTGCTGTTGATTTGCACGAAGAGCAGAATCTGTGCGGTGTTACGCGAGCCTTGGGGGGCGCTGAGTCAAATGGGCCAAATGGGCCTTCATTGTTTCGGTTGTAGCCTGATTATCAAAGCCTGCCCATGAAACCACAACCATGTGCAATAATCTAATTACATCCTTGTTGAAGACAATACATGAGGTGAATGCGGTAACTAGCCCCTGCTTCAGGCACTATAGCAGCCCCATTAGCTCTACTTTCAATTTGTCTATGTTAGCCTATCTACAACACACCCATTAACATCACATCAGAGTGACTGTAACAATAAATGCAGTGTTGTTACAAGCTGTTAAAAATAGTGGAAACAAGTGGAAAAACCATTTCAAACAGGGATATAGGGATGGCTTGAAGGCTGAAGCACCAAAAAGGAAGAAACAAGGGGTCATTACACAGCAAAGTTGCACAAAGCTACATGACACCATCCTTATATCTTTGTTTTATTGTTTATAAGCAAAGTTTAATAGGGCAAAAAGCCTTAGAAAAAATGCTATCAACGAGACGGTAGCAGAAATAAGCTGACGAAAATCTACCAGCATTCTTCAGGCCAGTGCTATCAAACCTTACTTTATAACCACCGTTTGCCGCCAAGATGGATCATGATCAGGGCCAGACCCTGTTTAGATCCGCGTCTTAGCTAATACAATTGGCGAAAGTGACGTAAGTAATGTAGGTTTTTAGCCATACCAAAGGATTGTATCGGTGACCAGATTATTCTCTCTCTCTCTCTATCTCTCTCTCTTAGACAGCCTTTCACTTAAGTTCGGCTCTGTCGACACTGTCGCCTGAGAGGTGCGATATCCTAGCGTACGTGTGGTTGTGGTTACACAGACGACAGGAACGGTGTAACTACTACGCATGCGCGTGCAAGCTAGTGCGGACGCGCCGGCACCCAAACTGAAAACCTGAAGAGAACCTCTTATATAGCACAATTGTAGTCAAAATCTGCTTGCCGAGCGCATTAGCGCGAGGCAACTACTCCGGTTGTATTCTCGCGATATGCGCACGTACGTACGTGCCGGTCACGCTTAAGAATGTCAATTAGTCACGCTTAGGAATGTCAACTTTCGCGTCATTCGTAACAAGTCTAGCTTCCGCCGTGCACGCAGATTTCTGGCTGGCTTCGCGCGCAGTCAGCGCACGAGCGGCCTCAGTCGGACATTGGCTGGCAGGCGCGAGGCAAAATATGCGCGTGCGCATTCAGGGTTGTTTTTAGGATCTTCCCAAAAGCAAATTACTTTTAGTACGATGCCTCCCCCCCATTCGATTTGTGTTCAGGCCCTAGCGTAATCTGACAAAATAGTGCGTCTTCAGCCCTCCTATAGATGTACTCTGGGATTGAGAATAATAGCTAATTGGTATCGATATTTTCACAAAATTATTTTCTTCGTGTAGAGAGCATCAAAGCGCGCATAAGTACATCAAACATCAATGTTGAACTGGTATATTAAAAAGTTGCTAACTATTGCTTGGTCTCTCTCTATTCTAGCTACTTCTTGGAGAGGGCACGGAAACCAGACTTGGATCGATTCTGGTAGTACTCATGGTCGTCCACATAGTTTGACCTCTGCACCGAGTGGGTCTGCATCCTACAATGTGGCAGTAGCGACATACTCACTAAACACAAACACTGATTACAAGGTGACCATCATTATACGTACCAGAGATAAAAATCAAACAAGACCATCTGCTAATGGGGACTGCTGCTAACAGCAAGAATGTTATAAATTGCATGCAGGTATATATAAACTTATCAAGCCCTATATAGCCACAGGCCCATAGCAATCGACAGATGGCAGCAACTAGTGAAGCTGTCTTTGCACCTCTTATGTAATCAGCTGTATAAATTATAGTCCTGCAATTAATACATCCTTACTTGCTGACGATGTACTGGTGTCCATGTCTCTTGTACTGGACCTCTGACTTCAAGGAATCAAGACTCCTCTTAAGATCCTCTTGCAGGGCCTGTGGGCAAGACGGAGAGAATATCAGCTGCTGCTTCGTACTCTTTGTCCTTTGAATAGGTAAAGGCCAATTATTCAGATATTTTGTTCGCATTACTAACTGCAGCTTTATAACCCTTTCGGTCACAAAATGTTGTAAAATTACACACTCTAGAAACATCACAACGAAAGCGCATAATTGTGAACTTTGACCCGCTAGTGGTGGCATTGCGGCATTATCTCGTGAAAACTACCCACGCATCCTCAAAAAGTGGTCAGTCTGCACTTGGATGTGGCGGTCGGAGCTTTGATGTTGCTTTCATCTACACTTTCAGTACTAAAAAAAACGCAAAAAGTGTCTTGATTGAGTGAGACATTCATAAATATCTCAGCCGCTTTGCGTAGTCTTGGTAAAACGGCAGAAAGAAAGGTCGCCACAGGATGTAAGGGTTGTCGATTTTTGGGGCAGAATCACGCATATTTGTCAAGAGAGTTGCTGTAAAAAAAGCTGATCGGCTTTGCAGAATTCGTGACTGAAAGAGATACAGAACCTGGTCAGCAGTAAAACTAGGTCAGCCAGACTCTGACAAATCATGCACCACTAGGTACGTAGATAGCTTCTGTCGCCAAAACGAGGATGCATATGTATATATATACATCCAACCCTAGTTGCCAACTTTCTTGTGAACAACCTTTGGAACGGCAAAGTGTTTTAGCAATATCACCCACTGCATATCACTGCCATTTACTGTATACATTGCCGATCAACACATAACAGTGTTATGTCTACCTGCAGTAGTCACTGGTAGCAGTGGCGACTTTTCAGAACAGCAACAGCATCTCCCAGTAACCTTCCTTGCCTCGGTCGAGCTTCCCTATACCCAGATTAAATGCTCAAGTTACGTCATGGGGGGGTGGCTCACCTTGCCCACAGAGGGTCAGCATCCTTGAGGCTGCAGCAGCAATAACTCTGTTCCTCTGTTGGTCCCCACAGTAGTGTTGGCTGGACCTGCTCACCATCTGCAGGACACATACACAACAGTCAACACATGACATGTCACAACAAGTAGTTAAACCAACCAATTCAACTACACCTACATACATACATAATGTAGGACAGTCTAAGTGAAAAGAGAAGAGCTGCGCTGCCCTGGGTGGGATTGAACAACGTCACTTTGCAGTCTAAGGAGTGCTCTACTGACCGAGTTTACAGCTATAAAACGCTGAAACGTCACACTATGTAAGATCATAATACTGGCAATGTTCCTTACTCTCCTGGCCACCATCACCAGCGCGTAATGTTGGGTACCAGAGTGGGGGAGAGGATGTCAAGTGGAGAGATGCCCTCATAGCTGGCCCCTGCTCCTCGTGGTCGGCCTCCACTGCCGGTAGACTCAGTTGGAGGACTATGGCCCCTCTCCTCCTCGACTGGATGTCGCCCAGCTGTATCTCACAGCTAACAAAAGAGAGTGAGATATATACAACGAGGTGAGGGGCAGTTTACACTCTATGTCGTGTTTCAATTCCATGAGAAAATCAACATTCGGTGTACGTTTGAGACAGACACCAGTTAAATAATGCAAATTCAGTCAATCTACAGCAGTCAAGTCATTCGACTGCATTGTGCATGGGAGAGAGAGTTTACATCAACATGTCCCCAAACAAATACGTACACAGCGATTACTATATTGAGCTGGTTTGTATATTCAGTTACAAGGGCCACCCATTTGTGGAATTAACAGTGTGTATTAACGTGTTGAATGTACCATGTTAGCAGTGGTCCATTGACGGGCGGTTGGCGTGGACAGCAGAGAGAGAGGTCTCTCCAACTGCCTCTATCTTGAGGGCCAGTTCTGACGCCACCACACTCAGCAGACCCTCCAGACAGTCTGCAAACGACTCTGGGATCTGGAGTGTGGTTGAGAGAGTATGGCATATGTAGAGTATAGGCACTCAGTTTATGAGGGGCATTGCACATGGCATTACAACTGGTAGCTAAATAGCTTGTATAATATACACATTGTGGAGCCATGAGGGCTGAATTGGGAGCTCTGTGGGGATTCTTGTGTGGTGGCATACCGGAACCAGTGAGGTCGGAAGTGTAGTACCACGGAGATCCTTACACAACGAAAATGCACTAAATGTGCAACCCTCTGCGACCTCGTCATGAGCAGAGTACCGCGACGATAGCTGGGCCATGGCATTTACTCGCAGTCTCTCGCTAGTACTTCTCGCAGAGAGTTTGACACACGGCTAGCATACGATAGTAGATATCATGCGGGCAGTCGATACAACACCCTATCGCTGTGGCGTCTTGTGCCTCCGACCAGGTACACACCAGCACAATAGAAAACAGAAGAAAAAGAAGAAAACAAAGGAAAAAACACATACAGTAAACATACCAACCACAAAGCATTTGATCATAGTCGAGGTGGCCCGCATACCACATCGCATGCGCACCGCTTATTGATGGTTGGGCCACGCACGCAGCCTCGACTGATGCCAGTTTGTCCGCTCTCGAACGCAGTCGTTTCAGCAAAATCGCCAGTTTCATCTTCTAGCCCATGATACCGCTAAGCTGTTGGTATCGCTCATAAGCCGCCTCGTAGCCTGTAGTGCGAGAATAGTCGTAGACAGACAGACAGACACGCAGAACGACTACCGTAACCCTCGCTGCGCATGCGCGCCGAGGGTTAATAATAAACACGCCTGGACACTATTGAGGTGGCCTCATAGTAAATAAGCTACACTAGGACAGACATGTGGAGAGGTAGTCTTCAGTAGTTACTACTGACTGCAGGTTTCACCCTATATCCACGACTAATTTAACGCATACGCACCGGCACAGATGGCTTTCTTCAGCAAGTTACCTCAGGTTAGTTAATCATTGTACATCCATCATATGAGTAACGTAAGTGCACGCTGAGTCGGAGCTTTCCTTACTCTTAGCTCACCATTATATTCGTGTTATGCATGCGTTCTACCTCACTACCAAGTTGCTGAGACATGCTTCCCACTCATACACTTGCGTTAAGCCACACCACATGCTCACTATGAACCAGGAGCTGTGCTGCATTACCTTATCAGTGCTGTCAATGAAGTAATAGACTCCGCCTCCTTGACTGGAGATAGCCTCGAGGAGATTGGAGTCGTGATCTGACCCAAATCCAAACGTGTAGACAGTACCCCTTAAATTTCTGGTGGTATAAAAGCATGGCCATTGCAAGATGGACATAGAAACTGCCAGAGGCAATAATCAATAACACTGCTGCCTTGAATCTCACATAATGTAAATAACTTAGCATGTAAGGACGCAAGGCAAAGCAAAGCCAAACAACACAACTACACCTAGGACTCCTTGAATATTCGGGTGACCTGGGTGGGATTCGAACCCACTGTACACAAGCTACCCACTGAGGTTTAGATAAGGCAGCAGCTCAGCTCAAATCCACAACACAATACAGTGGGCCCCTGTTAATATGTATCATACCCAAGGTGCATCAAAAAAAAAATGATAATATGCGGGATATTCTACAATGCGGGTGTGTATACTGTGACCCACATAGCGCACAATGAGGTTTGTTTAGCTATGCTAATCAAGCTAGGCTAGCCTAGCTATTTACATAACCTAATGAAGCCAGGTGCAGAACAAAACTCCAGCCCAAGGTTGTAGAATGCCTAATTACACATAAGCAATAATGACAATATGTGGGCAAAAACCAACATTCCTAAATTTCTATATGGTAATAGGGTATATACCATGTATATACAGCCATGCCCTCACCTTTGGAGCCACATCTCCATGAACTGGAGGGTCCTGAAGTTCCCTCATCTTGGCCAGGATACCCTCTGCATCGCGGACCCCCTGGTTAGCTAGCCCGTCAGTCAGGAGGAGCACCGACTGGACCTGAGCTCTCTCTCCCGCACTTTGCACCACCTCCTCCATACCTGCATACACATAATATGTCAGCCTGAGAGATAGACACTGGCACCTCAAAGATGTTTTCTTCACTAGCCAACGATGTGGAGTTAGGACCTGAACAACCCTACGCTAATGAATGCTCGATAAGTGCAGTTAGCTACATAGCAAATCAGTCTACACAACATTTTTCTGTTGAGTGTCGTTCCCGGATTGTCTCCATCCCCAGTGTACAGCAGATGTACAAAAGGGCCTCTACAAAGTATGATGGATGGCTAAACAGCTTATAACAACAACCGCTACCATGTATGGTCAGACTAAAGGTGCATAAAATACCTCTGACAAGGCCTCCACAGAGGTTGGTGGAGGAACCCTCGCGCAGCTTTGAGATGGTGATCTTGGTCTTGTCCTTGTTGGTCGTGCTCATGGACGTGAGGGAGAAGTCCAGGTAGACATTGGTGTCGTAGGTCACCAGGGACAGCCTGTCGCACTCCTTTACTGCACGTGTGCAGTATAAATTTATACAAGATGGCATGCTGGATGTATTATGCACAAAAACGTACACTGATCGACAACAAAGAGAAGCGTCTTCTTGACGAGGTCCAGCTTAGCCCCGCGCATAGAGCCGCTCTTGTCGATGACGGCCACTATGTCGACAGGAGCACGCGCAGCGGCCTCGTAGAACGGCGCCTTGAGCGAGGCCGTGGCCCAGCAGACCTGGTTGGACCCTCGCGGGTAGGTGGCATACTCAGCATTGCACGAGAGCGCCACTTGTTCGCTACTTGCCGCTGCAACCTGCGCCTCAGCCATCCTCTTGCCTCTCGGTGTGTGTGTATAGACGACTCGATCCCACGCCTACTTTTATATACGCTCAAAGTGACGTAATTTCTCAATTAAGATATTTATTAATAGCAACGACAACGACAATGACGTTGTCCCGGGTGGGCATGCGCAGCCAGGCGAAGAGAGCGATATATACAAGCGATGCATGCATGAGAGCGAGTAGGGCAGGTCAGGTAAGCCGTGGCCCGCATAATTTACATGCATAACATGCTTCTCCCCTATATGTGTCACCAACAACCACACAAACCTCGCCCGCGCCGAAAATAGGGTTTACCATAGGATATGCGCCGCTGTCCACTCAGGAGGACAGACGCCTTTGCTCTAGCTTCACATGGCCGGTGGTTGCCGGCGTCATAGCCATGGGCAATGATAACAAAGATGCGAGGAATGGGTATTGCCTACAATTCCACTGAAAGTAACTGGTTGTTGACGCTATCATATGCCGGAGCATTGGGTGATAAGTAAACATGAAATGATTCGTAACAGTTGGGGACAAGAGGATTGCTCTTTAAATTCTACCTCAATGCATTCTCTATGGGAACCAGTGCGAAACTTCACCAGAGCCTGGTTAGCTAAACACTCAGGATCCTCAGCACGCATGCACACAAGTTGACTTCGGAGCTCGAGGGCGTGGATATTTAATTAATTAACTGGGAATGCCCTGCTGGGTGCAGACTGGGCCGGCTGCCTTGTATAATATGCAAGTCCTTCCTCGTGTATGCAGCTTGGGTATAAATATTCTGCAAGGGAGAGTATGGTTGAAGTCGTTTTTCAGACACAATCAGTGGTATGTAAGTTGGAGGAAAAAAAACGAGATTTACGTGTATCATTGCGAAATGCGAAAAAGTATTATTGATAAAGCACTCAAAAATAATTCTTATTGCTAGCTATCTCCAGTGTCAGTTTTACATTAGGGGACCGAAAAGAATAGCACTGTTCAATTTGTTCTCAGTGGAAAAAAAATACTCACAATGATATTCCACAAATTCATTCATTGTTATCTTCCCATCTTCATCCCTATCCATGGAATTGAAGGATTCTTTAGCAGATTCTGGTGAGATCCCCAAGCTGCATTATGAACATTCCACTCATTGAAAGTAATAAAACCATCCCCATCAGCATCAAGACACGTAAACATATGCTGGAACACGATTGCATAATTATCTCGAGCCATCAGGGTTTTCCAACGACCTTCAAATTCGTCATAACTTTGCTCCATGCTACCATCAACAAGACCGAGTTCATCGCAGAAGGAAAACATGCTTTTCGAAAAAGCTTCCATTTTCTCCGTTGGACATTCAGCGGTGTTCTTGTACCTTTGTACTATCACTTCAAAATCATATCTGCTCAAAGAACCACTTTTGCTTGTATCTCGTGGTAATGACCGCCTTACGAAACTTTCTCCTCCAAAAATCACTCTCTTGAAGTTCACAACATCACCATAATTGTAGAACGTTACGTATGACTTTCAGCAAAGAAAACAAAATACCCGAGGTAGCTAAATACAGCAGAGACCTGGCTGAGGATCTTCAGGGCTGTAAGTCAAGAGACCGGATGTCGGGCATTATCGCGGTCTACAACCCGCAATTTCTTCTCATTAGCGTATAGGTCTCACTGGTTCTTACCACTAATTGCTATAGCTATACTCAGTTGGCCGTATGTTGCGTTACGATACCCCCTGCAAGGCTTACCTTTATATACCGGTTTTCGCTTGTTAGCCAACTAGGCTAAAAGAAGCTGGAAACGAAGGGAGCTCCGTCTTACAGACAGTGTGACCAAGCTCATCTATCCGCGCGTCTTGTTAGCATAACACGCATGCGCATAAAGTACCCGCCGGATGGAGCTGCAAAACGTTATACAGAGAAGAAAAATGTACAGAATAGGTCGAATACCATCTAGAGAGTCAAAGGATCAGTTCCAACAAACAAAGTTCAAACCCTCGGCGGAGATGCGCGCGCTCTCGCTAGAGAAGGGTTGCATGTAAGCAAAGTTGAGGAAAACCGACCTACACAGCCTTCTGTAAAAGGCTGCAGACAAGGTACCAAGTGAGGCACATCTTTCACTGTGCATTTGCCATGTCAACAATAATTATTATGGGAATATCTCGCGCATGCGTGAACAGATTTGAGGCGTGCACGCGGTAAGTACACCCCCATGCGCGCGCTTACTTGGGCTGGGCGTTGTACTGACTCTCATGGTCTGTTACCAGGTCGCTGAGAGTTAGTAACGGGCTAGCTACACTACTAAATAACAAGCAGGAGTCGATAAACGCCCTTCGTTGTCAGTGACTTCTTGTGCCTTCAAGATACACAGAGCAAGCGGACACGGTCGAGGTAAGCCTGTTCCTAATTCGCAATTGGTTTTTTCGCTCGTGTTTCACGTCATAACTCCTGAACGCAACAGTTTCAGAGAAAATCCTACATACGTTTTGACCTATACCCGACGCTGAATACGTGGTATTGTTTGTGGAGCGATTCATGCATGGCTCGTGAAGTGAGATGTTATGTAATAGTCTGGCGTAGCCTGCCTATTTCAGCTACGCCAGACTATAGCAGACAGACACTGACAGACACACACGACAACTACAGTAACCCTCGCTGCGCATGCGCTCCGGAATATCAACGTTTTAAAAAATCCTTCCTGGTAAAAGCTCTCTCTTCTTCTAATCCCATCAGTATATACCACATTTACTGAGTCTGCTCATCTTGTTAACTGCTTCACTGGTTATAATTTTCACTATGGTCATTTACATGTTAGACGTTTTCATGATACTGATAATTATTAGTATTCGAAGTACTTTTGGTTTATTTTCAGACTTTGAGTCCCTTATTTTAAGAATTTCATGTCAGTAAATTTTATTTTATGTAATCACTTCTGCAAGAATTATGATGAGGGGACCAGTGGCCGGTCCAGGAGCCCTTAAGCCCATGGATGGCGACGGGACAGAGTCCAGTCGGCCACTGGTCCACTCTCTGTGTTCTTCTATCTCTCTACCTCTCCTTCTGTTTTTCATTTTATGTGTGCACCTTTACTGGTGTGTACGACAACAATAATAATGAAAAGCACTAAAGTGCAAACCCTCGGCGAACTGTGCATGCGCGCTACCGCTAATGGTTGGGCTGGGCTATTGGCGTTTACTCGCGGTCTCCCGTTAGTAGCTCGCAGAGAGTCTGACACCGTCACGGGCTAGCTACAGTTTTAGATAGCATGCGGGAGTCGATACACACCCTTCGCTGTGGCTTCTTTTGCCTCCAAGGTACACAGAGCAAGCGGATCAGGTCGGGGTGAGCCAGCATACTGCGCTGATCGCGTCTAATACACGCATGCGCACCGCTTATTGATGGGTTGGGCCACGCAACGGTAGCGCGCTGTCCGCGACCGTGCCAGTTTGTCGCTCTCGAACGCAGTCGTTTCAGCAAAATCGGCATTTTATTTTTCTAGCCCATATACCGCTAAAGCTGTTGGTATCGCTCATAAGCCGCCTCGTAAGCCTATAGTGCGAGAATAGTCGTAGACAGACAGACACACAGAATAACCCTCGCTACACAGAATAACTAAGAGTTTCTCAGTCACATTCAGAGTGTGGGTGTACTGTGCAGTCACTGGGTCATTCAACACAGTCTGGGTTCCTTGGGTGACAGTGTGGAGTCTCTTGTCCAAGTGACAGTGGTAGGTCCACCAGTGGAGATACAGGCCAGGGTAAACTGAGGGACTTGGTCCACT